CCTGGCTTCACCCTGGCCCAGCCCTGGCTGCTGAGGCCATCTAACAAATGAATCAGTAGATGGAAGATTCCTCTCTCTCTCTCTCTCTCTCTCTCTCTCTCTCTCTCTGATACTCTCTCATACTTTCAAATAAATAAATACGTCTTTAAAAATAAATTGGGACATGGCACAGTAGCCTAGTGGCTAAAATCTCCACATTGCATGTGCTGGGATCCCACATAGGTGCTTGATTGTATCCCAGCTGCCCTGCTTCCCTTCCAGCTCCCTGCTTCCCTTCCAGCTCCCTGCTTCCCTTCCAGCTCCCTGCTTCCCTTCCAGCTCCCTGCTTCCCTTCCAGCTCCCTGCTTGTGGCCTGAGAAAGCAGTCAAGGACAGGAAAGCCTTGAAACCCTGCACTAGTGGGAGAGACCCGGAAGAAGCTCCTAGCCCTGGCTTCAGATTATCTCAATTCTGGCTGTTGTAGCCAGCTGGGGAGTGAACCAACAGATGAAAGATCTCTGTCTCTCCTTCTCTCCGTAAAATTTGACTTTTCAATAAAAAATAAACAAATCTTTAAAATAAATAAATCACACATACATTCGCATTTAATGGAATAAGGATTGATGTAAAGGTTGGGGTTTCATTAAAGTACAGTGGTTTAACGTGGTGGCTCAGAACGAGATTGGATCAAATCGAGTGTTGGTGCATGGTTGAATTCAATGCTTTCTGCAGGTCTGAGCACACAGAGGGAAGAGGAAGAGCCGAGAGTCCCTCTCCACTTGCATGCCACCCTCATCACACACCGCACTTAGGATTTTTTGCAATCCTGGACTATGTGAGCCTCTAGGACCATGAGCCCAATCAATCCTCTTCCTAAGAAGCTCCTCTCTGAGATTTTAATGGCATTTTCAGACAGTCCAGTAACTGCATGTGATCCCCACTCCCTGCTCCTCTGCCGGAATCCACAGGACCATCAGGTCCCGGACACTGAACCTCTCAAATTACTTGCGTATCCTCCCTCACTGGGAGGCACAGCCCAGAACATCACCCCCTGATATGGTGGCAGTCTCCCAGACTTTCCCCGCCGCTGGAGGGGTGTCTCAGTGACCCCTTCTGCTCCACAGACACCCGCCAACTCCCCAACGTGACTTCCTGGCCATCGGAACACAGTCTAAGTCCCCACCTCCGGCCACCTCTTCCAAGCACACAAACAGAAGCCCTACACATTTCCAAGGCATGCTAAGCCCCTTCTTTTAAGATTGATTTATCTTTACTGGATAGTCAGATATACATAGAAGAGGAGAGACAGAGAAGATCTTCCCCAAGTGGAGCAATGGCTGGCGCTGAGCTCCGATTTGAAGCCAGGAGCCAGTAGCTTCTTCTGGATCTCCCACATGGGTGCAGGTTCTCAAGGCTTTGGGCCATCCTTGGTTGCTTTCCTGGGCCACAAACAGGGAGCTGGATGGGAAGCAGGGCTGCTGAGGTTAGAACTGGTGCCCATTTGGGATCCTGGCACATTCAAGGCAAGGTCTTTAGCTGCTAGGCTAGTGCACCAGGCGCCCTAAAACCCCTCTTTCCACCATCTTTTGCACAAACTATGTGCCTGGCACATTCTTACCCTTAAGACTCTGTTCTTCCTTAGTCCAGAGCCACTCAATCATTAGTTCACAGAGAAACTGCCCATTTGGCAAAGCCTGCTAAGAAACCAGGGTGGGGGCAGGAAGCTGTTCACAGCCCCATTGCAACCATCACACTATATCCTCCTTCATCCCATTTTATGTCTTCTCTGGGAGACCCTAAGCTCCCTGGGGGCTGTTTGGTTTTTTGGGGGGAGGGGAGGGAGGAAGTCAGATATATAGAGGGGAGAGACAGAGAGGAAGATCTTCCATCCAATGGTTCTCTCCCCAAGTGGCTGCAATGGCTGGAGATGAACCGATCTGAAGCCAGGAGCCCAGAGCCTCTTCCAGGTCTCCCACCTGGCTGAAGGGTCCCAAAACTTTGGGCCATCCTCAACTACTTTCCCAGGCCACAAGCAGGGTGCTGGATGGAAGCGGGGCTGCCAGGATTAGAACCAGTAACCATATGGGATTCTGAGAAGTACAAAGCAAGGACTTTAGCCACTAGGCTACTGCACCAGGCCCAAGGCCAGAGTTTGTACATCTTACCAATCCCAGTAACCGGGAGCCCAACAGAAAGCACAGCAATTGGAAGCTTGTGGAAAAAGCTTACTGCCCCATTTCACAACGTAGGAATCACAGCAGCCAGAGAAGCTAAATATAGGCCAGAGGAGGAACTTGTCCAGTGTTTGATTTCAAGCCTGGGCTCTTTCCAAGCTCCTGGGTTTCCAAAGTTATAGCTTCCTTTAGAAAACAAAGACAAACTGACCTCTTACTTGCACTGCACTTATTTCTTTTGGAAAAGAAAGCGACATTGACTGTTTCTTACATGTTAACCCCTGATCGCTAAGCCTGGCAATTTTATTAAGAAATACTGAAATCTTTTCAAAGTGATTCTTGGGGAAATTTCTCAGCTCCTTTTCCTCTGGAGGCAACCTGTCACTCACCTGAGCACACTGATAGACCCCACTTGCAAGCTTTCCAATAGTCTCACTGCCATCCAGCCTCCCAGGGACCCGTGCCTGGCTGTAGGCGAAACTGAAGCCTCTCTACTGAGACGAATTCCAAACGCACAAAATGAATGTTTTACATTCTAATCATGGTTACCAAGCCACCTGGAAAAGCTACAGTATGGACCAAGTTCCAGCCCTGCTCACGAAGGAATGCCTGCATCCGAAAACAAAGCCTTAAATCATTTAAAACCCTAAAGCTAAGAGGCAGGACTCAGACGCAACAAGTTTGCAATGGGCAGCAAGATCCTGTCCTGCACATGTGTCCACTCATTTCTGCATGTGTGGGTGCATTTCGATTCTCACTGCAGGCGCGTTGTGGGAATGGGAGGCCGGTTGCAGGGAGAACACGCTCCATCTCCTTCTTCCATCAGCTGAGGACTACGGAAAGAAAGTGCACAGAATGTGTTTTTTGTTTGTTTGTTTTTTGTCAATCATGCTGTCCTGGGATTTACACAGAGGAGACTGACCGTTTGTTACATGGAACAGATAGTACACCACCGCAAGCTGAAATTTCCTCCTGTAAATTACACCTGACCGGACCACCCCATCACTCATCTCAGATCTACGCAGCAGTCCACGACGCAAAGACCACACTCAGACGTTCACATCCTTATCCTTTTCTGCCTCTAAACTTGTACTCTGCAAAACTCAGAATGCAAATGCACTCCTTCCTGCCCAGCGTTCACAGCTCCAGCTCGGGTCTCCCTGCCCTCGTGGCCTCATGACGCAGCACCTTTCCCGAAGGCTCAGCAAACCCTCATGCTGCACCTGCTCTCTGCAGCTCTGCTAGGCGAGGGCTCGCACTGTTCCCCCAGCTCCGCTCTACACACTCATTTCTCAACTTCCACCCTCCCGATACCCTCGTGTGTGAGAGGCACACATCTCATTGGCTCTGCCTGGATGGAACTGTACTACAGAGGCCGGAGCGGGAGGCTGCATCCTCACTGGGCCTCCCTCTAAAGCTGACGGCCAGAGGAAATCGTGTTCTCCACAGGCCCACAGAGACACCCGCCGTGGCACACACAGAGCATATCACAGCAGCAAATGCTTGATGGGAAGTGGGAAGCCAGGGGCCCCAGAGCTGCCCTATTTATATTCCTTGATGCAGCTAACTCCTACTCATCAGCAGGTGATCTGATTTGCTGACCTGACCTGCAGGCTAACAGGTGCATAACATAAAACTCCTGATCTCAATCTACCCTACACCTTGCTGCCTACCTTCTCAAAAACTTTCACCTGAGCTTGCTTAAACACAAGCATTAATACAGCCGGACTGGAGGACCCAGCTGCCCAAACCACATTGGGATCCACCACATTTCCTTAGAGCAGAGCCTGGTGCTGGCTTCCCTGCCATGTGATTCTCATTCTCTTCTTGGGTTTCTAAAAGTCTTCAAATTCATTTTGTCCGTAGAGGTTGGGGTTGAGATGAGGGTGGGAATGGGGGAAGTGGCCCCAAGACCCTGAACTTGCAGAGCAACATGGAACAGACGGCGTAGGCGGGTGTGTGCTTACAGCAGGTTCTGTTGTTAATGACTCAAAACGCACTGCACCTTCAGCAGGGGCAGCTGGGAGAAGGGGCGCCTTGCTGAGGCTGCCTCTGCAGAGAAGCCCTGCCGGGGTTCTGAAAAGACAGCTTCCTTCCTCGGACTCCCAACTCCTCTTCCAAACACAGGTGTAGTTAGAGACTTCCCAGAAGTCACGAGTGCCCACTGCACCTTACCTGGATCGCTTAGGAAGCCAAACTGGCGTCACACAGTCCTCCAAGGCGTGCCTGCGGCCCTGTTCTCCCCAACATTTTCAGCACTATATTACCCCCAGTAAACTTCAGCTTAAGGAATTGCCCTCGGGTGCCCTGACAGGTGCTTCCTGGACGCCTCCCCAGCGCGGCTTCTGCTGGCCATACACCTCAGAAAGCAACAACAGCAGCAAGAGGTTTCCAGTTTTGGGGGTGGGCACGGATACTGACAACAACAGGTTCAGTTCATGTTCTGGAACTAGAATTCGCTCATTCCCTTAGAAGTTTGTCAGAGCTCAACAAAGTAAGGAAAAGAGAAAAATCAAAAATACCGTGAGTTCTAGGCATTGTCACTGGCAGCCTTCAGACCCAAACACACCTACGAGAGAGCTACGAATGGCCCGCACCCGCCCGCAGGTGCAGCGCCAGTCCAGTGCCTGACAGGTGCGCACCTGGGGCCTCCGAGGAGACTTCCACCTAGGCGAGGGCTCTCTTGTTAGCAAGACACCATGGAGGGGAAAAGGCGAGCTGATGCGGACAGAGAAGGAGAGAAGCGTCCCAGACACCAAAGCTTCCAGGCCGTCACCTAGGCAGAAGCTCGGCCAAAGCAGTCGCGCCGCGCCCCCTCCCGCGGCACGCCCCGCCGGCGCCTCCTTACCTTGCGGGAGTACGGGGGCTTGCTCAGGTGGATGCCATCGCGGACCAGCTTATCCCGGATCATGATCTTCAGCTTCAGCTTGGGGTAGCTCACCAGCTCCCTGCCGCGGGGGGCGGTCGACTGGGCGCGGAGGTCCCCTCGGGTCCCCTGGACCGAGCCACCACACGACTCCCCTCGGCGCCCCGGAGGCACCGCGTCCACGGGGGACGCGGGCTGGGGCTGCGGCTCCAGGGTGAAGTAGAGGCCAGCTGCCGCCGCGTCCTGTTCCCGCAGCCGGTGCACAGCCTCCAGGATGCGGCGGCGGTGCGCGGGCGCCAGCACCCCGATGGCGTCCAGGTCCGGGTCCCCGATCTGCTTACACACCTCCAGGTCATCGTAGCCGTTATCCACGAAGGACTCGGCGTACTGCGGGAGCTGCAGCGCTCGCAGCCACTCGTAAACTATATTGGTGCACATGGCGGGGTCTGGGCGCCACCAGTTCTGGGAACTTTTAATCCTGTCCTCGACCGGGAAAGACAGAAGCAGCAGCAAAGTTTTTCCCAGTCAATAGAAACGAGCGCGCTGGAGAGCCAAAGCCATGAGCCGCGCGGCCGGAGAAAGGCAGGAGCGGAAAAGCGGCCAAGTGAATTCCCCAAGCAGCCGCCGAACTCGCAGGCACTGGCGGCTGGGCGAGCCGCGCCGCCCCTGGATGCGCCGCCGCCGCCGCGGGGAGGGGCGCGGGAGGGGGCGGGGGCGGGCGGGGCCGGTCCAGCCCTGGTCCAGCCCTGGTCCAGCCCCGGGCCCCGTGCCCGCTCAGCGCCGCGCCGCGCCGCCCTGGACCTGCCCGCGCTGGGACGCTCCCGGGGCTGCGCGCAGCATCCCGCTCGCCAGCTCCGCCGCGGGCTGCAGACGCCCGGCAGAGCCGCGGCCTCTCCCCTGCCAGCCTCGGCCGGCCCCCGAGGATCGGGGGCTTCTAAACTGCCCGGCTCCGGTGGTCGTCCTGGGGTTGATGTGGGGAATCGCTTGAATCCGACTTCCCGGGAGCGCCCGCGCCTAGCGGCGCTGCTCGCTGCTGACCGGCGCGCTGGGCGCGGCACACGCCGCCGCTCCCGGGTTTCGTCGCCTTGTTCTCTGCGGGTTCCCAGGTGTGGCAAAGTTTGGGATGGGCTGTACTGGGCGTTCAGCCGGCGCCTCCCGCCCTCTCCCCCCACCAGCTTTCTGCGGGGTCCCTTTACCCCTGTCCGCCTGAGGACACCCTGTGTTCTGCCCCGGCGCCCTTCACCCCGCCCCTTATGCTACCCGGGCGCCCCGAGTTGTCTGCCCACACAGGGACTCCGCGAGGCGTAAACTCCTGGAGCTCCAGGGTGACCCTTGCCTCTTCCGCCACAGCCCGCCCCACGATCGCGTGGAAACACATTCATGGGCAGGAGGAGCGCCCGGACGAACCCACCGGGGGCACGTTCTCTCTAGGGAGTAAGAAAAGCAACGCTGTTTCCCCCATAGCGCCAGGGCCTGAACAACCTCTTGGAGGTGGGGAACTGAATAGCACGTGATCAGATCGAGCGTGCCCACCACATTTCCCTGGGTCTGCCGAAGGACGTTGGGGGCAGGTACACTGTGTCCGGCGTTTCCAAGAAGGCGTCTGTGCCACTGCACGACCTATCCTGGACCCTCTTTTGAAGGCTTCTCCCTGGGGCGTGCCAGCTCCTGTCCCTGACCTCAGGACTGGACCACTCGGCCCCTGGGGGAGAAAGCCTCTTCCCCTCCATCAGAAAAGCTTGACCCCCTGTTAGGATGAGAGCACCATAAAGAATCAGATGACCACTCTGGCCTTTTGACCCAGAAAAACATCCGACGCAGGTGCACACAAAACAGTAGCGGGAGGGTTTGGGTTCCCAAGCAAATTAAGAACAGCTGCCAGAGCCAACCGGATCCTGAGAACAGCCAGAGGAGTTTTGGAGCCGTGAGAGACCACAGCCATGGGTCACAGCCAGGCGGTCCCCTTAGGAGCCCGAGCTGGGTCGCAGCCGCTCCAAGGCTGCCGCGCCTGGGCCACGGGCTGCCCACTGCGCCCTTCGCATTCCGCCTGCGTCCTGGCCGGCTCTCGCTCGCCATCACAGGCTCACAGTGCCCTCTCGCGTCCGGCCTGTGAACGCAAGGCGGGCTGCAAGGCCGCCAGCTTCTTTGACTCAGGAAAAGAAAATGGCTTATGGCTTAAAAAAAGAAAAGAAAAAAGCTCGCTTCCTGCCCCACCGCTTTTGAACTAGAAATGTTGATATCACATCTTTGCATTGTAACGCTCTTGGGAAAACGGCCTCCTGTTTTTAAAAGGAAAGCACGCCAGTAGTTGGACTTCTGCTGCTAGGAAATAGGGATCAGCATTATGCCAGGCATCTATGCATGAGTCTGTACATACCTGTACATACCTCACGGGAGTCGCCAGGATGCCACAGGAGAGGAATTGCGGCACTGGAAAGCCTTTTCCAATGCCCGTGTGCAGGGGGCAGCAAGGATCAGAACTCTGGGGGCTAATTCCATTCCAATCCAATTCCAGCCTCTTGCTGGGCTGCTTGTAACTGGTGAGAATTCTCTTTTTAAGGCAGGACAACTTCAAAACTCCAGGATTTGAGCTTGAGCGTCTCCATTCCTGAGCTGTGGAAAAGGTCCGACGGGTGGCTCAGTGCTTCTGTGCCTGCTTAGATCCTGGCCTGTTACCTCTGGGGAACCGAGGGACATTCGTGTTGTCTCATTCACGCCCCCGTGCAAGGCATTGCTTTTATTTTTGATTCACCGCTATTGGGAAGATGAATGACTTACCCAAGGTCGTGCAACGAATGAGTGCAGGAATTCATGCATTTGGGGCGAATGGCACAAAGGTGCGACGAGCCCGGCTCCTCGCTCCTTGGGTAGCAAGGCTACGAGGAGGTTCCGGCTGCGTGACAAGGCCAGGCAGAATGTCTCTGGTCACCTCATTGCTGCCTCACCCTGTTGCATGGACACTCAATCACCTCTCTGATATTTTATGGAATTCTTCTGAGAGTGCTGTTGTTTTTCTGCAAATGTGAAATAATTCCTATAACTGGTATAACAGCTGAAACTGATGAATCATGTTATGGTAAAAGGGTCTTTAGCAACTGAAGGGAATGACACACAGCTACAGCATACAACAGTATAGTTAAGCTCACATTATTTCCAAACATCTTGTTATGTGCCCATCTTTGTCTTGGAACTTACCCTAAAATGCCTGTTTTCCTTAAGAAATGGCTTGGTAATATCTTAAAAAACAGATGGCAATTGCAGAGGTACAAAGAGTTTATTTACCGCGCAGCCTCAATCTGCTGCATTGCATGAAAGAACACATTTTGGCTTCCCACCACATAAAGCAGAAAGTATATCGGGCGTCTTCTAAAGGAAGACAAATGTGAGCCCCCAGAGGAAGATGGTTTGAAACTTCTGCCTACGTAAACAGCTTAAAAAGATGAAAAGCAATTTCTTTGAAGACCCTCGATCCATAGAAGGTCTGAGTTACCCTATCCTGTTCCAGGGCCTGTTACCAAAAGAACAGCAACAACAGCAACAACAATTCAATCAGTACTAGGTAAAGGTGATGGTAATTAGTGTATGAATAATTATAAGATTTAATAAAGAATCTATGATATATCCCTTTATAAATTTCTTTCATTGATAAGCTTTCCTCTTAATTATGTATTCTTAAAATTTTAAGTAAAATTAACTTAGGTTTAGTGAAAATTGATTTTAGATATACGTAAACCACCTGTCGCTACATAACCGCATGAGCTGCCAACCGTGGAGCCCCTGGCTTCAGCCCCGTCACTGCAGGTTTGAATGAGTAATGGCTTGCTGAAAATATTTTCTCTGAAGTAAAATAACAAGGAGCTCACCAGAGTGGTCCCAGTGTGTTGCCTTCTCGCCTGGTCCAGGCATCCTTTGCAAGCTCTGACGTCAGCAGGAGCTAGTCTCCAGCCACTGAGCGCGCAGAATAAGCCTATGGCCATCCGGTGAGTTCCCTCTGCTTAGGAGCCAACACTGGCCCCACCAGGAAAGACGGCAGCGCTCGCTCTGGTAAGGGAGCCCTTTCCGAAGGAATCCCTTGTTCATCCAATGGAAAGAAAGCCTCCCTGCGGTTCGCCTGGGTGGGCGAGCTCCAAATGTGTCCCTACCCCACCGCCAGGTTCCTCCTTGTGTCTGTCTTTCAGACCCTCCTGCCCTCGTGAGCCTGTGAACACCCCAGCCTTCCCACTACTTGCCTCAACATACCTCCCAGCCGTGTGCCATGTCAGTGTGGCTCTGCCTCCCACAGACACGTGGCCGGAGTCCAGAGAAAACTGGCCAAAACAATCGGATTGAAGGCTCAGGACTGCAGCCTTGCAAAGCAAGCATGCCAGGGGACACGCTGTGACTTGCGGCAGCCACCTTCACGTGCAGGAGCCAGAAGCCCACTGAGGTCAAGTCATACAGCGGAGGCTTCGCATGAGGTTACAAGGGACCTGGGGCAGGATCCCAGGGTTCCTCACATCGCTGTGTGCTTGCCTTGTGTGGCCTTGTGGTTTGCTGCAGGCACCTGTCAAAACTGCCCACTGATTCACCAGAGCCTTATTAGGTAGGCACTTCACTGTTAACCCTGAAAACAAGAGAATTTGTCATCATTCATTGGGACCACAGTGGTTCTAGTCCTTTAGCTGTGAAGAGAATGAACGGACGAGGTGGTTTTTGTTTTGTTTTTCATTGTAAAGATTACAAAGGTGGCAATACCTGCTATCTTTTTTGTTCTCCAGATACTGTGAATCATAACATTGGCCAAATTTTTAAATGCAAAACTTGATATCGGACAAGCCTGAGGCTCTTTGCCACAGCCCTGACACACCACATTTACTGACTTGCACACTTTGTCAAGTACCTGTGCATTTATAAGTTTATAGTTGATGGCATCGCTTTTACATAAAAGTTTTCAAAATATAGAAAATGCTGATTGTGTTTTAAAATGCATTTGATACCAACCTTTTTTGTTTGTTTCAGAAAGGGACTACTTACCTAAGGAAAAAAATGGGAAAAATTCATCACGAAGAATGTATTTTTTAGGGACCAGATCAGGGAAAAGCCGGGCTGGGCTGATTATTCCTACTGGTGCAAACAAAATTAGAGTGGGTGAGGATTGTTTGGGCTTAGCCACAGCATCAGCTGGCACTGGGGACTAATTCTGTGAAATCAAACCTCAGAACTATCTGGAGAGTGCATAATCTGGGAGTGGGAGAGTCCTGGGAGGGAAATAGTGGGCTCATCCCTCTTGGGTTACCACTTCCACTGGAGGGCATAAAACTAGGACAGTGCCTGGGGTGAAATGGGGTGTGGGACACACTGGATTACTGCTACACATTACTGGCAAACCAGGGTAGGGAGCGGGCCTGGTGGGGGTTATTGCGGGTCGCTCCAATTAGGCTGCAGCTCCCACTGACTTA